ACAGTTTTGCATGTAAGAATTGCATATAAATTAAGTCATATGCCAGACCAGTAGTTCTCAAAATGTGGACCCCCAGAATAGCAGCAGCAACAGAATCGCCTGGGAATTCCTTAAAATTCTTCAGCCTCACCGTAAACCTACTAAATCTGAAACTCCTTGGTAGGGCCAGCAATCTGTTTTGTTTTGTTTTCATCACAAAACTTTCAAGTACTTTTGATGCACAAAGTTTTAAGAGTTAGGTCACACTGTGGTAAAAATAAAAATTGAAATCCCCCCGAGGAAATTTATACTTACAAGCATCTTGGAATGTCTATCATTTACACATTTAAAAGGCATAAACTAGCAGTAACATTGGGAGTTCATTTTAATAAAAACCTGCTGATGGGCAGAAGCAGGAAAGAGAAAACCTAAGTGCTCAAGACCACCCTGTAGGCGAACCAAACAGACCCTGCAATAGGAATCGTCACCAGATCAGGCAGGAAAAATCTTTGCTTAGCAAATTCCCCTCAACTCCAAGAGTATCCTCAGGCATCCATTTGGCCAAGCATGTTCCAATCCCCAGCCTCTCAGAAGTAGCTCTCTGGTCTTGTCTTAGTATACACACTTTGCCTGTTGACTATTATTTGCCTTCTTTTGTTCTTCTTCTTCCTATGGGGCAAGCACAGTGGTCTTTTATTATCATCTTCCTGGGTTCTGAGCAGCCATCTCCCCTCTGACTCTGGAAAAAGGGCAGATTGCTGTGTGGGCAGGGCCAGGGAACAGCTCTCATTGCCAACATGTGCTCCCCTCCACCCCCAACAATAAGGAGACTCCTGGGAGAGGAGCTTGAGATCCCCCTCCTCCTTGAGTTGTAGCTCCGCTCTAACTGTTGGTTTTTGTGGCTGTTAGACCTATGGCTTCTTGGGCATCAAGACCTACCCTGTGTTACCCTCCTGTGTGGACCTTCCCGGAGTGTGAAGGTGTGCCTCATTTCTTCTCCACCTTCTATTAAAAAGAGACTCCCCAGTCCTATGACCCTCACTTTAATTTGGGACTCCGCTGACCTCCCGGGTGCCCCACCACCTCTCAGAAAGGCCTTCTGCCCACTTCAAGCCGAGATCTTCCTGTTGTGAGTCCTGGTTCTGGAGGTGGGAAAGGATGGGAAAGATTTGAAAGTTTTGAAAATGATTGCTTTCAGAAGAACTGGGGAAGGAGGTTTTCTGATGACAAATGATTTCAGGAATGGAAAAGGCATTTTAGGTAAAATTAACCAGAGGAAAATAGAAAAAGCCAGGGAAATACTGCTCCCTCCATTTTCCTTGAGAAAATTTCCTTCTTTTAAGCATTTAAAAGCTCCTACTTTTTTGTGACTAAAGGAGGAGCAATCTTTCCTTGAAGTCAACTTATTTGGGGGTTCTTGTCCTCCCCTCAATTTTCTATTTCTTCTTCCTTAATTTCTTCAGAGCAAATTTAAGGCCTTTGTTCCTTTAGGAATGCTCACATTTTGTTTTCTTTGCAGCACTTTGTATATTTTTTTCCACATGCTATGCAATCCACTTATATTAATAAGTTTGAAAAATAGGACACAAATATTATTTTAAAAGAAAAATAACTGTTAAAGTTCAGGAGCTGCAGACAGGGAAGAATTAGTTTACCATAGTATGTCTTTTTTTTAAATATACTTTTGTTTTATTTATTTATTTATTTTTAAGTGGTGCTGAGGCTCCAACCTAGCACCTCACACATGCTAGGCGAAAGCTCTACTGCTGAGCCACAACCCCAGCCCCTACCATAGTATATCTTAATCCATTTTCTCTTGATATAACAAAATATCCAATTCTGAATAATTTATAAAGAATGGATTTGTTTATTTTGTCTCGCAGTTCTGAACTCTGGTAAGTTCAAGAACATGGCACTGCTGAGGGGCTCATGGTGGAAAGTGAAAGAGTAAGCTGCTACATGTGAAAGAGAGAGAAAACCTGCTGTCTTGATTAATTAATTAATCCAACACTCAGGAAGAGTAAGAATTCACTCATGTGAAAAAGGCATTAATCCATTCATGAGGGTTTTGTCCCTGTGACATGAACACCTTTTAAAGTCTTCCCCCAACTCTGAATACCATTACATTAACAATCAAACTTCAACATGAGTCTTTAGGGAGCAAATCACATTCAAACCAGCACATATTCTTTTAATATTGTAGGATTCAGGGTGCCTTCTTCAACCTTATCAAACTACAGCCACTGGTGTTATTAATGACATATGAAAAGAGACTTGGTACTTGTATCTTAAGGATTTTAAAGAAAACTGGCTCATGGAGAAAGGACTCATTTAGGAAAGAAACATATGAAGATGACTATATATAAGCAACTAGTGAATTTAGAGAAAGTAGCAGTTGTATCTAAAAGCATGTAAACTGCCAAAATAATAATTTTCAACAAAAGGCAAACTTGTAGTCTGGTCCTTGTTTTCTGGAAAATCCTATTTTAAGATTCTAAAACATTAAATGAAGAGGATTTTACCCTCTTCTAGATAATTGCAGCCTTTATATACTAAACCCCAAATCCAGGGTTTTTCTGTTAAAAAAATAACTTTAAAAAATAGTTTTCAAAAAATAAGTGTAAACAGCAATTTTTATTTATTGTTTTGATGGTTGAAGGAAGCAACATATAAGAAAGTGGGAGAGAGAAATATTTCCTAATCATCCAATAAGGGAAATTGGAAAGAAGAATTTTACATAGTGAACTTTGGGTTGATTTAAGTTGGAGTTATCTGTCACGAGCCAGTCATGGACTGTGTGCATGAACTATGTGCATTTGAATGTATGAGAGGACTGGACTGATGTTATTGTCTGATTGGGCTGTGCAATGTAAGTGTGCCTTTTCTCTCACTCTGCCTTTGATCCTACACAGCACCTGAGGTGGGTGTGGCTTTCCAAGATGTAAGTCAATCTGCTGACCACAAGACATCACCAAGCAAGACTCCACTCTTTGAAATCCAATTCCTTGCCTTATTTGGGTGGAATTTTCTCGAATGTCTTTTCCCCAGTAAAGAGAAGGTTTTAGGGGTGCCCACTCTCTCTCTTGCTCCTTCCAGCACTGGAGCTGACCATTGGGGTCACTGAGCCAAGCCATCCTGCCTTAGAAACTTATGTTAGAAACTTATGTTTATGTGCCATGTGGTTTCTTTGTCATTTTCTTAGTTACTGATACAGCCAGCTGCTTTGAACCCAGCTCATATTGCCAGCCTGGTCAGCTGGTGATAGTTATCATTTAAGGTACTGGACCATTGCATCTTCTATTTTAGAAGAGCAATCTGGTTTTTGAGGGACAGAGCTGCCTAAGGTGGTGATGAGAGTGAGAGTTGAAATATGTGGGATTTTTTTCAGGTCTTGCCATCATTTTACAAAAAGAGGTCAGATTCAAAGATATAAGGAATTTATCAATGTCATTTGGCTGCTAAAGAGCTAGGATAAATATCCAAGTTTTCCACCTCCATGTCCAAGTTTTTTTTTTTCTTTTTTAAAAAGTATACACACAGGGCTGGGGATGTGGCTCAAGCGGTATCGCGCTCGCCTGGCATGCGTGGCGCCCGGGTTCCATCCTTAGCACCACATACAAACAAAGATGTTGTGTCTGCCGAAAACTAAAAAAAATAAATAAATATTTAAAAAAAAATATATATATACAGATAACAAGGGAGGAGAGGGAAGAATAGAAGTTCATTGGACTAGACAAAGGGGAATAAAGGAGAGAATGAGAATAGGAAAGACAGTGGAATGCATCAGACAGAACTCTCCTATGTACTAGATGAATACGCCACCAGTGAAATGCCACATCATGCACAACCACAAGAATGGGATCCTGATTAGAATAAGTTATACTCCATGTATGTATGACATGTCAAAACCCACCTAATGTATATCTAAAAAATAAATAAATAATAAATAAAAATATTATGCTACATATTACCCTGAAATAGCAAATTAACTTTCAGAAAAAATCTATATAAAATTGCAAAAGTTAACTGTAAAGATTATGGTAATTGAGGAGCAGTGAATCATTTGACTAAAAGAGTTTGGGAAATTTTCAGTTCAAGCTCAGCTTAGCAGAAACTTGAACAAACAACAGGGCTTCTCTGGGCAGAAAAAAGGGCAGGGGTAACCTAAGAAGAAGGATGAGAGGCAGAAAAGTATAAAGTATTGTTCATTAGACCAGTAATCTCAGTTGACTTGAAATCTGGATTATTCCATTTCAACTGAATGAGGCATCAGGCATTTAAGCTTCCCTGATGTGGGAATCTAGTGTTCATTGTAGAAAGACTACAGTGTTGTGGGGGTTTTGTTTGTTTTTGTTTTTATTTTACTTCAAGTTTTTGTGCAGATTTCTTGGAAGAGTCAGCGAGCCATGACTGTAGAATCTAAATGGTGGACCTAAAAGTGTGATTTCTAGGCCAAATTGTGGGTCACCACATTTATTCTTTACAGTCATTGAATTGCTTTTTTTTTGGATGTGGGTAGATGGTGTTCAGTGCCTCAGAAATACAAATGGACTTCAGAAAGCAGTGGAAAGCAATAAGAATGAACCCAGGGACTTACATGGGGACTGTTTAGGGGTAGACAGATGCTATTAAGATGTGGGTTGGTTTGGACCTAGAAGAAAGTGGCGTCTGGTTGTGGGTGTTTTTTCGTTTGAACCCAGGGGTGCTTTACCACATCCCCAGCTCTTTTTTAAAAAATACTTTATTTAGAGAAAGGGTCTCACTAAGTTGCTTAGGGCTTCACTAAACTGCTGAGCATGGCTTTGTACATGTGATCCTCCTGCCTCAGCCTCCCAAACCGCTGGCATTACAGGAGTGCACCTCYCTGGTCGGGCATTGTTAAAAGGCTCCTACCTGGGTGGGATGTGCCAGCCTTCTGATTAGGACCTGAAAAGCTGGGCCCGGCCTGCCTTTGTGACGTGGTCCACCGGGCCCCAGCCCGTAGGTCATGTCTTGGCAGATGTGGTCCAAAGCCTGCTCAAAGCCAGCGGCCCCGCGGAGGGGCAAGCGGGGCCATGGCCGAGGCGGCCCAGCCCAGTGGAGAGTCCCAAGGCTCTGAAGTTAAAGCTCAGCAGCCCAAGGAAAGGGTCACCTCTGGACCTGTGAGGCGGGGCCCGCGCTCCGTGCTCAAAGTGTCCCAGCTGCTGCTCCGGGCCATCACGTCGCACAAGGGGCTGACTCTGGCTGTTCTCAAGAAGGAGCTCGGAAACGCTGGCTACGAAGTGCGCAGGAAGATTGGCCGCCCCTCCGGAGAAGCCTCCAATTCTGAGGTTAAGGGCACGCTCCTGCGGGTCAGCGGCAGCGACGCCGCCGGCTACTTCAGGGTCTGGAAGATTCCGAAGCCCAAGAGAAAGTTGGGGCGCCCTAGGATGGAGGAGTACGGCCATTCCCCCAGGAGGATCCCACCCGGGTCCCGGAATTCGCGGAGGCGCCCCACGCGTCGCAAACAGGCGAGGAAAACCAAGGAAGCCTGGAGACCCAGGAGGGTCACCGCGAAAGCGAGAAGGGGGAGGCAAACGACCCAGGAGCCGGTGCGTGCCAGATCCAAGGAAGAAGCGGGGGTCAAGGTGATGGACGAGGGGAGAGGACGGACCCTGAAGGAGGACATCAACAGGCCTAGGTCACGAGAAGAGAAGAGGCCAAGCTCTAAGGTCAGAGTAGAGAGGCAGCAGGAATCCGAGAAACCGGGAAAACGGACCATCCAGAAGCCAACCCCGGTTAAAACCGACCGTACTTTTACCGGGCAGGGGAAGACGGGCATGAAGACCTGTAGTAAATCCGAAGGCCTTCGGGTTGTAACCGGGAATCCTTAATGTAGGGACGCCCTCATTTCCTACAGGCTCTAATGCCTTTCCCCATAGGCTCCAAGGAGAGCACCTCGCACTCTTAATGAACCTATTTACAAAACCTTCCCGCCTCTTTGTGTCTGTTTGCTCTTAGCCGCACCTGGAAGGGTGGATGTTAAGGTGAGACCTCTAGTGGGCACGTGAGATAAAGAGAGAAATTAGACTCTGACCTGTTGCAGGACCCAGAGAATCTTTTAGAAGGAAAGAAAAGAGGTAGAGGAAAGCCACCAGCTTAAAGTGGTTAGTTAGGAGTGCTGAGTTAATGATAGACAACACTAGCAAATCCAAAATGAGTTTGGGGAAGGAGGGCATGTTGCCAGAAGTGTAGACAACCTTGATCCAAAGTGTTCTTACCTGAAAAAGTATTTTAAGACAAAATCCCTTCTGCCAAAATCGATTGCAACGAGTTTGCAGTTGTTGTCCTGAATTGATATCCTATTTGAATTTGAAAGTATGTCTTACATGTGAATCCTCAATTAAATGAGATGGTATGTGAAAGCATCCTGCATAGGGCTTGGCACAGGGCAGGGTGCTCATGGCTGAGGATTTAATGTGTTTATAAGTAATTCCTGATGAGATTGTAATGTGCTATAGCGGAAAACTACACTGAATCAGTACTTAGTGAGACCAGGATTCTAGTCACAGTTCTCCCATTCAGACCTTAACTGCATTATTACATAAGCATTTGTGTGGTTTTACACCCCTCTGCAAAATGTTGGGATTGTGCTAGGATGATTTGAGGTGATTTAAAGTGTCAGTAAAATGATAAAGGGAACTTGATCATCATTATATATGCTTTGCTTGACAAAATTAAACAATAAGGGAGGTATCAAGTGGGCAAGTGCTAACTGCTAGAGAAGAAACCATTAAGATTTATAGAATGCATATCAGAAGTACAGGAGATAGGCAAGGCTAGATAGTGAATATCTAGTCCTTTTGCTTTTCATAAACTACATAGATGTTTTGAGCACTATGTACCAAGTGTGGAGCAAATGTATGATTTCTTTTAGTTCTAAGGCAGGGGTAAAGAACAGCAGGGGAGTAATTCTCATGTCATAAGCTGTGACAGGTCACAGAAGTGGTTTCTAGGGAAGTAAAACATTGATTTAGGGAAAGGACTAGCTGTTTCCAACTGAAGCCAAAGCAGTAGGGAAAATGAACACTCCTGAGAAGTGCTTCCTTTTTATTCTTGAAAAGAGGTGGGTGGAGATATTTGAACCACCTAGAAGTTTTCCCCAGGACAATGTAGTATCTTCTATAAGGGGTGATGTGTGTTTCAAACAAACAAAGTGATGCTACTCTTAGCCCTCTCACACCCTTGAGAATCACAGCCTTAAGCCTGTGCAAAGCCAAATAACAGCAAACTGCTTGAAATGTATCTCATCTTAGAGATGTTCTGAACCTGGAAATTTCCGGATGCTCAAATTAAGGTTACTATGCACTTGACTGTCTATGAATGGCAAAATGAAGCAAACAGAATCAGAAAATGAAGAGCCATCTGGGAAGAGGCAGTGAGAAAATCAAACATTGTCTATTGAACACAATTAGAACAAAGTTAATCAATGCCCTTATAGTAGGATGAATTGCCCTCTTTGAGTCCAGGGATGTTTTTACCTAAAGAACAAGGTGGTCTACAATTAGCTTTTCCTATTAAGATGAATGGGAGTGACACTGGAAACACCTTGTTTTCTAGATTTTCTAGGAATCATCACATTTGTCTTTGTATTACGTCTTCGTATTATTTGTATTATGGTTTCTTCATTTAAGCAGACTTCCATTCATTTAGTAGAACTTATCAAATTAATGAAAATAGTTACCTTATATAGGAACAGAGCTCCCAGACCCTGATCTTATGTTGCTAACAATGGTCATTTTAGTTTATTTTTCATTGACCAACTCTAGAATGGCTATATTCCAACAAAATATGAAAAAACACCTTACCTCAATAGCAAGCTATCCAGATTATCTAGATCCTGATGAGAGCTGGGTACTCTGTGAATGAATCCCTAGAATAGCTAATTCTATTCCTAGTGTTCAGTCATGAATCCAAGATTCTGGAACCAGTGCTGAGAATACTAAAATGGATAAAACATATTCCCCACTTTTCTTTGGGCTTATATTTGAATGGAGTATTTGGATGTTTTAATTAGAGCAAATGGAATGTCCCTGACTGCAATTCTTTGTTTTCCTTTAACCTCAACTGCCTAGTGCTGTACCAGATAACTGTTGGACTTCAGAGCTGTAACAAACTTTAGCTACTCTTAAGCATCAGATATTTAATGGTTGTTCAAAAACAGTTAACAGAAATATATATGCCCTTTAAAAATACAAAAAAAATCCAAGTTAACTCATAAGAAAAGTGCAAATTAATAAGATAGTGTTTTTAATCATATGGACAAAAATCTGAATGTTTGAGAATAGAGTCCATTGGTGACTGGGAAAACATTCATATTCATTACTGGTGGAAGTACAAATTGTTGCAACCCCTAATGGAAGGAAATGTCTACTGCACTACAAATGCAAATGGAATTTATCTTTTATATGTTTATACTCTTGTGGAATGACTTATGTCCAGGGTATTTAGTGAAGCATTGCATTTAAAAAAAGAACAAAAGTATAATTAGGAGATAGGTTAAACTGCAAAGCTTCCATATAGTGAAATAACATGTAGCTCTAAAAAGGCAAGTATTCTTAATTATGATAAGCTCCTCAAGATACAATTAGAGAAAAAGAAAAAGTTCAAGACACTGAGTATATACTAACTTTTGAGCAAAATAAAGGGAAATCTAAATATCTCTTTGTAGACACATAAAGAAACTAYGGGAGAATATGCTGAGAAACCTAAGTGGCTCTCTATCATGAGGGGAAGGTGATAGGAATTGTAGGGAATAGATTTAAGTGAGATTCTTCACTATCTTTTCTGTGTTTGTTTTCAGAAACATATAAATTGTAATTTGTTAAAAATTAAGGTAGAAATTTCCTTGTAATTGTCAATTATAGCTTTTTCATTTATAAGATGCTTTGTTCTACTGTATGCTTTAGTTCATCTCATTTTTCTAAGATAGGTCTTAGGTGAAAAAGTGAATGTTTTAGAAAGTGTAAAGCTTAGAAAATTGACTCTTAACTGCAAATCCAGCATTATCTCAAGTTCCAGATGTTGAATGGGGCTTCACCATCCATTCATTAGCTCCACAAGCCATCTTTTTGAATGTAGATAAAGGTCAGAAGTTCAGAATTTATTTCTACATGTTGCAGAGATTTCATGGAGATGGGGAAGATACCTCAAATTTTCAACCTGTTTTACAGAACATGCAAACATCTCCATTTATCAGTGGTCTTCAAACTATCGATTTCTTCTGTTCTTCTCTGGGGAACTTCTTACATGACAAGGGCATCTGGTCATGTTCAGCCACAACCTATATACCTAGTAAGGACAGGAATACAGAGTTAGGATATTAACATAGGAGCACTGTGTCAAGAAGGACACAAACAGACCCCCTAAACCAGAGAATTAAAGAATTGAAGAGGGAGAGGGTGTTAACACCAGGGCTTGAATGAGAGTGAGAGAGCAGGTTGGGGGTAGATAGAAGGAAGTCAGGATTTCAGTAGTCCTGGTTGAGAAAACATCCCCCCCACCACCACCCAATGAAGGAACAATCACAGCTGCTGTGTTTTCTCCTTTCCCTTTTCTCAGTTCCCTTTCCTCTTAACCTTTTTAGTGATGGAAAAGATCAGGAAGTATTACTCCAAGTGGCTGGGGGGAAAGAGTGAACACCAGAAAATAAGAAAATATGTGAAGCCCCAGGCAGCAAAACAGCTTGGTAGGTGTAAGGAAAGCTGCAGAGGCATCTGAGGCTCAGCACCCACTAAGCAACAGGCTTGAAGCTCTTTACAGCCACTCCCATGGAGGAAGAGCTGTGCCTTTGGATTATGCTCATCCCCGGAAAGGGGGGGTCTTTGTTTGCCCGCCCCAGAGGATTGGTCAGTGAGTTAATGACCACACCCCACCCCGCCCCATCACCACAAGCCTTTCCTAGATTTCTCCCATAACCATTTCCTACCTAACCTCTCTGTACCTGCGCTGAGTGCATCTGGATGACCCTGTTCTGTCCTAACCCTAACGGTGACCGTGACCGCCTCATCTGGCTCTGGGAAATACCCAGTTATTTCGAACTTACCTAAAGGGGTAAATTCGCACTCTTCAACACAGCCACCTCAGTCTCCACGCGGCAGCACTCCCTGTGAGCCGACCACTCGCGTGTCTCAAGGGCGTGTCTCAGGTTGGGTCACAGTCAGTAACTGAGTGGGGAACGATATTTTTGGGGACCTGACGCCAGGGAAGAGGCCAGCCTGTTGCATCTTGAAGCTGTTTCCATAGGGCGACAGGGGCTAGTGCGCGACTCTCTTGATACCCCGCCTCCCTCACTCCCTCAATGCTCCCACCAATCGCCCCCTCCCCCAGTCTTTTTTTTTTTTTTTTTTTTTTGGCTCAGGAAAGAAGAGTGGGGAATGGAGGGAAAATTGGAGAGGACCAAGAGGAAATAGGTGATCCAGCCTCACCTCCTTATTCAACTGCCAGGAACCATACAGAGCATATTATAGATCCCCAAGGGTACGTACTAAACTTGTAGGAAGTTCAGCCCTTGGAGACAGCTAGCAGCCTAGCAGGTGCAGCCCTAGTTGGGCATACCCTGAACCTCCCCTGAAGAGGGAGCTGCGAGTGCAGGTGAAACTTGGCAGGAAAGCTTGGCTGAATAACTCGCTGAGGACAGGGGCAGGGTCGCCAGGTCTGGAACCACTAGAGCCTGGTGCATAGTAAGCACACAAAACGCTGCTTGTAGAATTAAGACAGTTTGATTCTCAGGAGCTATAGGAGACAAGTAGGAAGTAAAATAAACTGGCAAAAAGCAGAAAGTGACCGGAAGCTACTTCAAGGGTTGAAGAGTCACTGGTCAAAGGAATAAGGGCCTCCATCTGTCAGTACTAGACAGCGAGTTTGGATGTGGTTTATGGCATGAGTGGGAATGTGTATGGGAGAGAAAGACTGGTAAGGTGGCAGCTCAGTTGCCCTAGATAAGAATAGGGGAAGGGAGTGGAAAGTCTTGAGTGTGATCCCTGCTTAGTAGGTTTAACACTGATAGAAAATAAATTGGCAGGGACTACTTATTAGAAGGACCGCTGATGGATGAGCAGTGAGCCCATGATGAAATGAAACTAGAGAAGAGAGAAGCCTGAAGCTGGAAAGATGGGAGTTGGGGCAAACAAATACCCTTGGGAAGGTGCAGCATTGCTCAGGCAAAACAGAACAAAAATCAAACCAAAGAAAGCTGAGAAGTGAGAAGGAAGAGTGGAAGAGTGCTGCCTGTTGGGAGAAGGGAAATGGCAGACAACAAAAAGAGGGAGAGCCTGAAGCCTGCAGTTAAAGAAAGCTGAAGCTCTCTCTAACCTTCTATCTTAGAGAGCCTCATAGGTAGGTTTGCAACTGTCAATTCAGTCTGTTTTCATGGGTGTGTCTGGGAGAGGAACTGGAGCAGGTAGCAGGGCCAGGGCCTACAAGATGGAGCCTTTTCCACAGTCTGAATTGTACAGAATTTTCAAAGCAGGAGAATGCATTTTAGGTACCATGGCTTAACTGATTACAATCTCTATGTAGTAAATAGAGTCTAGGATTGAACCTCACTTGTGTCACATCTCATTACAGAAGTCTAGTTCCCCTGTGTGCCCTGGGAACTATCTGATGTTCCCGATGCCCTTGCCTATGAGGTACACCAAATCATGGTTAGAAATCCTTTGTGTGGCTCTTATTGGTCCCTAATCCAATTGTGAGTTTGGAAAACCTGGGTCCTTACATGCTTAGCATCACAAGTCTCACTGTCTTGTGCTTACCTTTGTGCTGAATGCTTGATTCACCTGCCTCCAGGGCTACTTGTTAGAAGGCCTGAGGAAAAGATCAGATGACTAACAATGGAGGACTGTTTACTTGATTGTCCATTTCTCAGTTTTATGTTGGATTTTCTTTCTTTGAGTTGTTTATTCCCTCTATCCTGAGGTTTCTGGACTCAAGTTACACTGTGCTCCCAGTTTGGTGGTTGATAGTTGAGTTAGGTAGTTGTCCCTTCAGTTCCTGGAATTGGTGAATAACCCCAGTTGTTCAACTGAGGTAAGCATGGGGAAGACCCTAGAACTAAGGGGAACTGAATTGAGGACTAGCTTAGTGAGGTTGACAACAGGAGTGTGAAGATGGTGAAGTACAACTGCTTGACATGGAATTTGAATCCCCTAGCTAAAACTTAGCTTATAGTCTGGAGGGCATGCTAAAAAAACTGATTGTTGGGCTATAACCCAGAGTTTCTGATTTAGGGATCTGAAAATTTGCAGCTGGTCTAAAGACCACATTTTAAGAACCATGGTCTGGTATACCATACAAAGAATAGAGGGAAATTTTGCCAGCTAAGGCCCTCCAAGGGATCTAAGGGAGATTTTACTTTTCTTTTATTGTTCAGCCCTACTCACCCCACCCCATCCCCATTCAATGCACCTATCTGAAAAGAGATGGAAGGGACCTGACTTCTAACTCTCCTGGTTCTGAGTCAGGATTGACCTTGCCATGCTGTAAACAGCAAACAGTGGTTTGGTTTTAACCCCAATTATTAGCCCATTTAGCTCCCCTGAAGGCATAACATTTCTCTAACAAGGGAAAAGCATTTCTTTCCACAATTAAAGTTAGAGCTTAAAATATAAATAGCTTCAGGAAAAGCTAGCCCTTTGGGTTACATTCTCCTATGCAAGGGATCCTTTATTCCTTGGGGGTGCAAAGGGAAGGATACCTGAATTAGGGCATAGTCACCACAGATGGAAAACTGTGACAGGATCCTGAAGATACACTTCCCTGTTTTACATTTTGCCCAGAGAGAAGACAGAGACACTTTTTATTTCAAGGGAACCCAGTGGCCATGTGGCAGATGAGAATTAGGTGGAAGATGAATGTTTGAGGCTGATTCCCTGTGGGAAAAATAATTCAAATCTATTCACTCATCGGATGGCTGTTGCTTGTTTATTTTTTGTCCAAGGGAGGTGATGTTGGACCGAGGTAGAGAAGACAATAGTACACCAGAGATGACCCAAAGGATCGCCCCTTCTGTGGAAGGCCCTTAGACTCCATGATGCCTTTCAGCTGCACCTACATTTTGGGGGCTTCACTTTCTATCCCTACAATTACTAAAACAGATAARAGGCTGGAGGTTAACATGTAGATATTAAGAGGTCTGACCTGAGAGTAAGGAATATCACTTACCACAAGTGCTTAAGACCAGGTTTGTGAGGAGTTGGATTTGCCAGCGTGTCAGATATTTCTTGAAAACAGAATAGAACTAAGCAATATTCTTATAGTCATTAAAGACCAGATTCTGTCCTCATACCCTGATGCTTCTAGTATCTTAGTCCTTAAAATATTTAGTGACCTTTGCCTTATAATTCTTGACACAAATATAGAATAACCATATTGAGTCATGATAAATCCCTTTCTTTGACCACAGTTTAGGGATTCCACGGGTGGGCTCTGAATCTGCTAAATGTATATGCAAAACTATGTAAACTGTAATATGTCTATTTTTCACAAAAGTGGGCATCTGGTTTTCACCAGATTATCAAACATATCTGTGATCCAAAATAGGTTCTATTATAGAAAGCTTTATATTTGTATTAAATATTTGTATTTAAAGTATGAGGGAAAAAGAAATGGTATAGTCCAGTTTTAACACTGGAACCTAATATTTTCTTATTTCCTTGGGCATCTCCTAATACTGATTCTAAAATGCTTCTGTCCCTGAGGACCTAGGGTAAGGCCTGCTTACAGAGGGCTGGTTGGCCATTTTACTTTATTCATAAGAACAGAAGCAAGAGAAGTGCATTCCAGGCAAAGATGGAAGGGTGCTCTCAGTAGCAAAAGAGAGATGGGGCTGAGCTACTCTTGTTTGTAGTCTTAAGAAGCCCAGTCAGCAAAATGACCCTATTTTCAATTCCACTTGAGCCCAGGACTCTGAGGAGCTGTGATTCATCCAGTTTTTCCTAAGCAAGATGGAGCAATCACTAAATTAGATTCTTGCAGCTCACTTCCTCTTGTGTTTCTGGTTAATTCCATCAACTGTGGTTAAGAAATAATTGTCTTAGGGAGAATCCAGAATCTAAGAATTAAAGAAAAAAATCACAATTTCACCCTCTTTGCTTTTCTTCCTTCCTAACTCAAACTGCTCTAACAAGATAAATTTTAAATTTAAGATTGGCATTAACACAATCATTAATAATGAGAAACAATGACCAACTTATCAACTAACAGATGTTAGAATATTTATACAAATCCTAGTGTGGATACCTTAGAATTCTAAGATTCACAGTATGGACACTTTTCCAGAATTGGAAGAAAAACCAGCCAGAAAGCTCATTACCCTGCATCAGCTGAAAAGTTAAGCCACAGCCTTTTCCCATAAAGTTCTGTTTCTGGGAGAATGAGATCCTCAAGGTAACTCTTCCCCCTTGATGAGGAAATCAAAGTCAAGATTAATAATAACAACAACTTGCAAACACTGTGATTCCTGTCCTAATTTTCCAGCACTCATAAAAGACAAGACAAAAACCCCACTCAGCACAAACCTTCTAAATGTGCCTTGCCTGAAATCAACAAGAAACAGCTCTCTGCTCTGAAGACTTCTTTCTGTCTTCTCCTGGGTAAAAACAATTTGCAACTCAGAGATTCAGACCTAGACATACAAACCCACAAATGTCTTGATCTCAGTGATACTGGGGAAAACTTTGTACACAACTTAATCCATCATTGAACCCTTTCCACTAGGGCTCCCTTTATCACGCAGATTACTTTCTATCTTGAAACAAAACAAAACAAAAATCCCCATACAATCCCCACTACCCTCATCCCCAGAACACAACCCCTAGAAAACCTAGCTTGTACAATTTGCACTTAGCATGCTCTCTTCAAGGATCCTGCACACATGTACACATAGACACACATAAAGACACAGTCAATGGGAGAGGGGATCTGTTTGAGGGGATAGTTTTTTCTTCTGTGTGGGCCTGGATTACTTGGGGAGGTAACATCCATCTTTTAGCATTATAGCGTGATCTCTCAGCTGGAATATGTATGTGCAAGATGAAGGAAATAGGAATAGGAGGTGGAAAAGTCCTTTGTTTTTTCAGCAGGTGGCATTGAGAGGTGTAGATGTGTATATGGATGACTAAGGTAAGGGTGACAGACCCACACAGGAACAACATCTGGCCCCCTGGCTTTCACAGGGATAAAAAGGGTGACTCTGGGTGCCTGATCACAATCTCATTCCTGTTTCCTCATTACTTTCAAATTCATTGTTTACCAGAGTATATTTCATGGAGTCACCAGTTCTGTGGGATATGAAATAAAGAGGATATTGAGGTCAAGTAAGTTTAGGAAACACTGCATTAACAGTTTACTGCAGAAGCTTTCAGACCCTTTAATATGCAAAATAGTCTCTCTCTACATATATTCATAAATATATGTGTATATATAGAGAAAGAATATAGTTAATACACAARGGTGATACTCAAAAATATTTAACAAGTGGTAACGTACATACTCCAACCAATGAGAATGGACCTCAGCCATAACTGCTGGTACCACTGTACCTTTGAGAATGGGCTCAGGCTGAATATCAGCCCACATTGTATGCATTGTTTCCCAAAATTTTGCCCAAAGAACCCTGTTTTCATGTGTTCTCACAGAACTGGTGAGAAATACTCTGGCCAATGCTGGAGCATCATTTCTCTAGGGACAGGGCCAGGGCTCATGATTCTGGCCATTGGGGTGCAGGATAGAGGCAGCCCTGGCAGTGACTACTGGTAGCACCGGCTGATAGACCTGACCATAACTGCAGCAGAGACAGATTTCAAAAGACAGATGTCCCTCGGTCCCAGCTACTTCGGGGACTTTGCCCCTGATGGGTCAGCAGATGCCTGTCCAGGTGATGTTTGCGGCCAAAGCTCTTCTCACACCGAGGGCACTGGAAGGGCTTCTCCCCTGTATGGGTCAGCCAGTGTCTCACTAGGTGGTGCCTTCGGCCAAAGCTCTTCCCACATTCAGTGCACACATGGCATTTTGGCACTGGTTGGGCACGCTGCCGTTTCCTAGCCCCAGGACTCTCTCCAACCTCTTGGCCCTTGCAGGACTTGCCATCTGCATGCACTCTCTGGTGGCTGGCCAGATGGGAATTGCATCGGAAATTCTTGCCACACTCAGAACACCTGCTGGGCTTGTCATGTAGGTGGGTTTTCTGGTGCCTGATTAGGTGGTGTCTTCGTCCAAAGCTTTTCTCACACTTGAGGCAGCTATAGGGCCTCTCTCCAGTGTGTGTTTGCTGGTGCCTGGCAAGGTGGGAGCCCCACACAAACTGTTTCCCACATTGGGGGCATGTATGGGGTCTTAAGAGAGAATCCATCTCTGTGCCACATAGAAGGTTTGAGAAGCTATCTTCCTGAAGAAAAGGTGGTCCTAGGAGCATTCCTCTGGAGCTCCTGGACATGGAATCCCAGTTCTCATCCTGCTCTGGATTCCAGAGAACAGTATCTTCAGACACACTAGATAACATTCTGGGAGGTTCTGCTTCTAGTTCAGGGGTATCCCCCTCATGTTCACTTCCATCTCCTGTGGAGAAGGAAAAAGAACAACCCCAAAAAGGGAGTCACAAGATAGTACCCTAGGACCTAAGCATGATGTATGATGCCAAACCTCACCCCAGGAGGGTTGAGAGGACATATTCTAATATATAAGATAGGGTGATAGGTGTAGAGGTTCTAAAAGCCTAGGCTTAAGGAGTAGATCAGCCAAGTTTTAATCTCAGCTATCCATTTAAATTCTTAAAGCCTTCATTTCCTCTTCTGCAAAACAGGAGTAAAACACCTCTCTCCCAAGATTATTATATAATAGCATAATATCTGCACATAGTAAGCACTTAGAAAGTGGTATATGCTATTGTCATTACTTATCAGCATTATTTATCAACTACTATTTATTACTACTAATCAACATCTTCTAACCTAAATATGGATGGAGAGAATAAGGAATGTGTTGCAATCATCAGTGTCAGCAATACTAGAGAGACATGGAAGTCATTCCTGAAATGGTTAGGAGATTCAACAACAACAACATCAATAGTAACAGTAACAAACATTTACTGTGTGCTTATTACTTTCTTCGCCTTGTTATATTGTTCTAATATGTTAACATATTTAATACTCAAAATAATTTAGATAGGAAGAAACCAAGAAGAAGTAAACTATTTTTCCAAGGTTCCATGGACATGGTCCAGAATTCAAATCCTCAAAGTTTGATGCTGGACTGTCTTATAAACTTTTCTGTTACACTGATTTGCTTTTGAAGAAAAAGATCTCCAAACCTTTAAATGAGAGTAATATACAATAATGACACCCCAAGAACGGTGAAGGCAGCGGCTGAAAATCTATTCTAGGTCCTCACCTGTATATGTGACCCTCAGGATATCCCTCTCCTCTAAGTCCTGGGGGTCAGGGACCCATTGTTCTTCTCCTCCTTCTAGTTGAGAAAGCATGTCAAGTTTAGGAATTGGAAATCCTGCCCATGGGAAAGAAAAATAGAGATGTAAGTTAGTTCAACAGTTATCCTATATTTGTGAAAAACCCTGTTTCCTAGATGATTTCTTGGAACTCTAGGAAAAAGCAGGCCAGATTCAAGCCTCTCTCTTGACCCCTACCATTTCTGTTAAGTCCCTCTTCTTTATCCTAGGAAAACACATTTTCTTTTCCAATTTAGTCTGTTATTTTCTACTCAAATCCTTCCAGCCCAAGTTCCCTTTCTGATCATAACTTCACTTTAGTCCTACTATAACTTCAGAACTTTACTTTAGTCCTACTGCAAACTGCCCCCACCCCACCCCATTCCCAGTCATGTCCTTGGAAACTGTCTTCCCCTAGATGGTTCCCAAGATTCTGAGGACCCAGTTCCAGATGTCTCTCTCTCTCTGCTTTGTAAGAACCACCCAATCCCAACCAAGAAGAACTTCAAGTTCTTTACTGCACAATTCAGCATTATTAAGTATTTTTTTAAAGTGATCCCTCACTTCCATTCTCTTGGGGTTAGCCCTGAGGTTCTTTCTTTGGCAGTAGCCTAGAAAGAATCCTGAAGCAGATGGCTTTTTCTTCTCAGGGTATGATCTTTTAGTAGGTAGGGAAGATCATGCTTACTCAGAGAGACCACTATTCCACAGTTTTCTTGCATGACATATTCTCCATAAAAGTCTGTTTGAGAGGGGTCCAGGCTCCGCCACTCTTCCTGAGAGAAGCACAGTGACACATCCTTGATGGTTACCAGGCCCTGAACAAAATATAGCATCTTGGTCAGTAGCTGTCCCTTAAGGAAAATGTGATCTCAGTATAAAAGGCTGAGGTAGTAGCGAAGAGAGAGCAAGAGAATATCTAGGAAAAGAATTGCCTAGAGATCCCTAGGTATGATATATGGTTTTGGTAAAGGGGAAGTGAGGAGAGGAATAAAGGTTAATGGTTAAGGAGTGAGTGAGGGTAATGTCACCAGAGAAGTTTCCCAAATAGGATCATGAGAAGTTGAGGTATCACAAACTCCTCACTCCCTCTGTTTTAATGTCTACTCAATCTCTTATCACTTGCTTTACTCTTTTTATTACAGAAATTCTGTATCATCTTCTCCTTCCTCCATAATACCCCCCCCTTTTTATGGCAACACAAAATGATAAAAATTAAACATTCTTTCTTGTTTCCCATCATGCTATACCTTTACCATTTCAGGCAGCATAGTATGATAGTTAGGCCCAGAATATGGAGCCAAATGACTCTTAGTTTTGTTACTTATACTAGCAGTATGACCTTATACAAATACCTTAATTTCTCATTTAAAATGGGATGATTGATTTTTTCTCAGAATCAAATGAGATCACACAAAGCACCCAGAGAAGAACACACATGATAAGCACTCTGGGAGTGTAGTTAAAACTACTACTATTATCTTTCCTTGGCTCCTCTATTGCTTTCTGAATCTATACCTATTTTCTTCTCTAGCTTTGACCCTCTTTACATATTTCTTTTCTTCTTTTCCCTAAGTGCTTCATTATCTACCCAATCCTGTCTATATTCTTCCAAGCTTTACTTACGTCTTCTCTTCCTAATATTTCCGTATTTATTAATTGAAGAAAGCTAATTAACTATTCTTAAAAATTCCCCTGTGGATAATAACATACCCATCCATTTAAAAACCCTATCTTTAAGAAATCACCTCTCCTTGTTGTGCCTCCATTTAATTTTCCAAGGGTATAATGTGCTCCTTGGAAAAGGATAGACTCTGTTCAGTTACAATATGAACATACAATTAGTATTCATCTGAACTAAAAAAATCAATGGGATAATATTAAAACTATAAAACTGTTTGATGAGACCTTGAGAGAGGCCAACTTTATACATCCCACCTGTGATCCAGCTGCAAGAAGGGCAGCTGCCATCTCCCAATCTCCAGTGCTCCCCTCTTGAGGAATTGCAGGAACCCAGGGAGTAGATTGAGCTGGTAAGGGGAGAGAGGAACCATTAGAGATTATCCATCATTTTCCAATAAGTACTTCATTTTAGAGGAGCATAATAGTCTCATCTTCTCTAATATCTATGACCATTGATAAAATTAAAATGCATAAATGTAAATGAAGAATCCTTCATTCAAAATGTTCTGTAAGGGCATTAGGTAGCTTTTGAATTTGTATTATTTGAATGAAATTTTCATTTAGTGAAGTATTATATTACTGGGTGTGTTCTCTAATGGAAATCAGTGTTGCACTTTCTTCATCTCCCACATTCAATACCACCAATTACATACTTGCATGTAGAAGGAATAACTGTGCAAGCGACAGGAAAAGCCTAATCACATGGTTGAAGAATTCATGAGTCCTGAAAGCAGGGTAAGGAAGAAAGGACTGGTGCTGGTACTGGGTATGCTGTTTAGTCCATGATAATTTGGGGATTTTAAACTCTACTCTTTGAACAGAGATTAGGAGACTACACATTGGGTTTCCCACATTGCTGTGGGTTCTCACCCTTCTCCTGAAATGACTGTGGCTCCTCTTCAAGATCACAGCATAGGTGCTCCAGTGGCCCTGGTGCTGTTCTCCATGGCCCCTCTTCCTGGCTTCCCCTTTCCATCTGGGGCTCTGTTCCATCCAGCTGTACATTCATTGACTCCCATCCTGTCCCCAGGGCTGCTGTCTGTTCTGAAAGCATTTTTGCTCCAAGCCCAAATTGTGACCTGGAACAGATCAATATTAGCTATGCCTAAGGAAGTTATGGGGAACAGCTCCAGGGATTAATGATGAGACTGGATAAAAGGAGCTTAATGGAAGATGAACGTCAAAACTTGATGTGTTCCAATCAACTGAGTCTGAGCCAAGCATCTTGGAGGAACTAAGAAACTGGCAGGTACTGAATAGCAAAGTCACTAACTGTTATTTGGGGGCCTCATGGAAATACCAAAATATCTCTGAAGCCTGAAAGAAGAATATGTTTAAAAAGAACAATCCCAGAAATTCATAAGTTATTCATTTTATTTCAACAACTGAAAGTATAGGAGAGTAGACAATTTGGAAATATGCAGGAAGGAATGTACATAGATCTGTTCTCAACAAAGATGAACGCAATCACACATAAAATTTTCTGCCATAAGTCACATTCTCATCAATTATTTCAGAATGACATGATTACTTCACATAGAAGTCCCAACCAAGTGGTGTATGTGCATAGTGAGTTCACACATCTTTTTTGAGGCTTAACCAAACAGCACCTTACTAAGACACATGATATGTTACTCTCATGTAGTAAATAAGGTAGAAAGACCAATAACTTGGAAAGCAGGTTTAAGATTCCAAAACTACCCTACTAGGTAAGAGAAATTGTTGGTCAATAAGAAGCTGAAGTTTAATCAGAAAGGGTAAAAAAGAACAGTAAGTTTGTTGAGGCATAGAAAAAGAGGAAGCAGTGCTTCTACAATGATCTTCAGGTGAATTAATAGCCCTGTGATTTGAGACACAGGAACAAACCTGTTTATTTGGAAGGCACCAGTCATATCTTATTAGAAAAATAAATTCAATTTTAAAAAAGGGTATGAAGAAGCCAGTATGTATTCAATGGAACAAATTCAAGTACAGAAAAGGATAGGAAACAGTCATTGGAAAAGGTAGAACCTAGTTTTCTCTTTTTTGGAGAAGGCTGATGAATGGAGCTACTAATGCATAAAAAGAGAGGTGTTTTCTATCCCTATATGAATCGAACAGAAGAAGTGGGTTTTGATTACAAAAGAAGATTTAGGTTAGGTTTTTTTCTTAATTAACAATCATGTGCACAAGACCAGGTTGTGTACTCTTCCATTCCTTAGTCATCTTAAGAACAGGACAGGCTCCATTTGGGAAATAGTCTATTAGAAGACTTCACTTTAAGCCTTTCTGTTCTTGTGCTTCCTTTCTGCTTGGTAACATATTTTTGTGATACTTATTCAATATTGAAGTAGTAACAGCCAGAGAAAGACTTCCAAGAACAGATCAGAACCTTGGTAGATATTCTGGCTCATGCATATCCATTCAATAACATTTGCAAGAACCAGAAGGCCAGGTTAGGTATCAACAGATGTCAAGTCATTTTTCTTTTTTCATTTTTTGCCTATTTGTCTTTAATGAAAGAGGTAGGTGGGAACCTTAAACTCAATGCAAAGGAAGAATAGATTCCCCTTTCATCTCAGAGGTCCAAAGATGGCTCAGGGTCGCATGGGAACAGAATCCTGGACAGATTCCCAGTTTAGGAGGTTTCCTTTTCAGAAACTTCCCAAAAGGAAAATTCCCAATAAAGAGAAACTTCCATTTTAGTTTTCTTGTATGAATTCCTGTCCCTGTCTTCTTTTCGCTTTCATCAAAGTACCAGTTTTCCCTCTTCACTCTAAGCCTTCCTGTTCTTGTGCTCCTTCAGCAAATCCTCCTCCTAGGGTTCTGCTTCTAGCTAAATATCTGGACACCTGTCTCAAATCCTTTCCTCCTCTCCTCCAGAAGAAAAGTCTCTTGATGAGAAGCTTCTTTCTGCAGAGTACACTGGACCAGTTATGAGTCTCTTGATATCACTGACAGAAAACCTATGGAAGAGCTGGCAAAAATCTCAGCAAAGGAAGGGGTGGGTACCTGTCCCTAGCTTACATTTCCTAAGATGTTCAAGGCAGAACCAGCACCTGGGCTGTGAAGGGGCAGCCTTAACTTGGTTTCTCCTGGTTCCAGATAATCCCATGCCTATTGGAGTCTGGGTTCTGGGGCTTTAATTTTCCCTTTTCCTCATATAGCTGGATGACAAGGTATCTGTAGAAAGAAGTTTTTGCATCCACTGCTGTTGTACAGAAAAAGGGCCATGTTATCAAAAAGAGTGGCCCAAGGGCACTGGGACGAGTTGTGCCTGTGACTGTCAAGAAAACCTTAGCCCCTGCAACGGGTGGGGCATGGGCGGGATGGGAGCCTGTTCGGGAGTAAGGTTGCTTCTTTCCTCCTTCTTGTCACACTGCCCCTGGAGAGGGTCAGATTTCAGAGAATCCGAGCAAGGCAGAATCGGAGCGGGGGAAAGTGAGGTCAGAAAACAGGTTTCCTCTGAGCAGGGGCTTGAGCAAGTGAAGAGAAAGGGTGCCTTGGGGTAACCGGTATGCGAGTGACAGCGACAGGAGCCTGCAGGGGCCTGACAGCGACGATGGGAACTGCGAGACGGGGCGAGGGGCGGGCACAGAATGTCAGCGGTGTCCCTCGGGAAAGACAGCGACCGGGAGGCCGCATCGTTCCTCCTCCCCGCCCCCATGGGTGACCGTGCCCCCCGGCCCCCGGGGAAGCCAGGCGACCCTCCCTCCAGCCGCGGCGCCCTCCGTCCCGGCCCCACTCACCCCGGGTCGGCTTGGCCCGCAGCCCGGTGCCTCCCTCCCGGGCGCCGCCTGCCCCTCCCCTCCGCCCTCTGCTAGCGTTTTCGGAGCCGGCGGCCGGCCCAGCCAGCGACAGGCGGCGACAGCGGCCCGGCGGGCGCGGGGGGGCGGGCACAGGAAATCCCCGCCCGCTTCCGGGGCTCGGCGGCGGCGGCGGCGGCGGCGGCGGCGGCGGCGGCGGCGGCGCGGGGGGCGGGGCCGCGGCTCCCGAGACCCGAACGGGCCGAGCCGGGACCTCGGCGTCCGCGGCCGGGGGTGGGGTGGGGGGTGCCGCCGGCCCCGGTGTCTGGCCCGCGGGGCGCGGGACCCGTGCCTGGGTGGCCGCCGGCCCGCGCGGTTCTGCCACGGACCATCTTCTGTCCTGGCCACTGAGCTTCCCACGGGGTTCTCGGCACCTGGCTTCATTGATTACCTTGAGTTTATAACCTCCCGTTGTGGGCTGGAGCCAGCGCTGTGAGAGCCATTTCTCAAGCCCCGTCTAGAATTTGACAAGAAACCTACAGCCTCTAGGTGTCCAGACCGTGAGGGGTGAATGCTGGAGAGGGCCCTGGAGAGTCATGAGTTCTCAGTGAGGGGTGGGTAGTTCCTGCAGGTGGACCTCACCGAGATGGTGCGCTGTGAAGCAGGCCCGTGGCTGCATTGTCCCCCCAGCCACATGTGGCATCTGAGCTCTGGAAATGTGGCTCSTCTGGATGGAGATGTACTGTAAGGTTAACATGCACACCAAAGACGACTTGATTTTAAAACAAGAAAAAAAGAGCTCACAAGTGATATTTCACCTACTTTTAACTTTTTAAATGTGACAACTGAAAGTTTCTTTTTAATTTTTTTTTCAGAAAAAAAAAATCCAGGCAGCCCTTTTAATTATGTCATTATAATGTGGCCACTAAACGTTTCTAAATGACAAATGTGACTTGTACTAAATCTCTTAGATAGTGTTAACTTGAACTATTAAGATGGCTTGATAGGAAAAGATGAGATAGAAAAGATGAGAAAGGCCTGAAAAACAGAATATATACATTACTGTTAGAATCTGTTTGCAACCAGTAAGTCACATTCACGTTCATTATTTCATTAGTTATTATTTCATTATCACAATAGTTTTGTTGTTATGGGCTGATTTGAAAATTAGCCCAGACTTATCCCATTTTGTTCAGACACCTCATCCTGTGTGAAATTTCCCCCCTTCCCCATGAGCCCACTCTCATAGAACTTGCATAATCTGTGGGACTAATGCAAGGTTGTTTTTCTGATAATGTAATTTCTGAGAGTATGACCACATGATTCTTTTTTTGTAACTTTTCCACCTTATGAAATGTATCTTTTGATTATAATCGCCTCTCCTGCCACCCTTCTTTGTGGTTTTAGTCCTTGTAAGCTTGTTCCTRTCCCTGGGTTGTGATGGGGGTTAAAGAACTGCTTGGTCTCTGCACTCTTGACCCCGGGGAATAAGTCCTTTGTCTTTGCTTCAAAAAGCCCCAGAGTTTTATTTTGGGATTTTGGAAATAGCATCTTAACACTGTAAAATTTTACATCCTATTTAAAATAAGTAACTCACTAAGGTCATGTATGACAATCATTCCTTTAATACATATTTATTTTCTRCCATATGCCAGATGTTGTAAGAAAATGAGGCAAATCAAAGAAAGGACTCAGTCTGTGGAAGCACATGCCACCAAATGTTTGCAATAAAATATAATAGATGTTAAAACAGAGCAGTATACTCCACACTAAGAGTATATGGGTAATGGGTGAGGAGTTAGTAGGATGATGGACAGTACAAAGATAGATAATATATGGCAAAGAAAAGTGATAATATATGGGAGGGAGGTCAGGAAAGGTCTCAGAGTTCACAGAGGAGTGGGGAGGGCTCTATAATAAGAGGAGAAAGTGCTAGACATTTAGTTGAGAAAAGATACAGAGCATATTCTARGAGCAGATCATGAGATGTGTGGGGTAATAGTAGAGCCAGAATTTGTATTCCAGGTCCTAGAACTAAGTCCAGAGGTTCTTTTCAATTATGCTACTACTGGTGATAGATATAAGATGTGTAATCAGGGTAGGCTAACAATGCTGTATCAGTTGCTTAACTCCATAAAGGCTTGTATTATACAAGTCACAGTGTGTTGCTGGTTGATTGGGGCCAGTAGGTGGAGGGTCTTTTCTTGCATTCAYAAAAGGATCCGGCTCCTTACATCTAGTGGCTCCACATCCCCATGGCCTTAGAATAATACCATCTGTGGGCTTCATATAAGGGAAGAGAGTGTGGCTGAACCAATGGCAGTATTAATGACATACATAATTTCACCACTTTCTCTTAATCAGAATTCATGTGTGTGGTCATATGGCGCCACCTATCTGTAGRGTAGCTGGGAAGTAAAATGTGTGTGCCTAGTAGAAAAGGAAATAGGGTTTGATGAACACTTTGGCATTGCCTCTGTCACACAATTTTATATTGAACATAACCCAACACTTAAATTGACTTTACCTGAAAAGAGTATTTGGAAAGAGCTGGTAAAGATTATTTTAGCCCAGATTTTCCTCTACTCTTTGGGAAACTAACTAGTGTAAGATAGTATCTTAAWCTAGAAAAACAAAATAAAACAGGAGGCAAATAGGCTTTGGCCTCATGAAGTGGGTCATTAATATTTAATAAATATCTACTTTATGCAAGATAATTGTGTTAAACATCACAGGGAATAAATGTAAAATATCCTTATATTTTGCTTTGGTGTGTTGTCTTCTTAACCATCAAGCAACATACTCTGTGAAGCATAGATATTATTTCTGCATATGTTCAGGAGCATTAAGTGAGCAAGGAGGCAAAGTAGAAAATTGAGCCCTGGTCTGACTTCTAATCTAGTACATCTGTTGCAAAGTGTTACCTTACCTTTCAAAGTAACTTCTTTGTATAGAAGTCCACATCCCTATGCAATATTGCAAAGTGGGGTGATTAAACATGCAAATAAAAGCAGGCTAAYGATTCTATCTTTTGCAGATTTTCTGGTGGAAGAGTTTCAGGGTCAGCTTTGAAGGTGAAATGTAGGAAAGGTATCCTACATAACATCAGAAAGCAGAAATAGACATGCTTTGGCATGAAGAATTCACAGATGTGGAGTATTAGTCTAGAATAGGGAAGAAATGAAATGCAGTAGATAAAGTAGCATATGAAGGTTTTTTCTTTTCCRTGTTAGGTGAGAAGAGCCACTAGTTTTGTATTTATAAGGAAGTAATTTACTTGATAGTATTAATCATATCATTACAAGGAAACTTGGTGGTTCTGGGCTGCCCTGTTGATGAAGTTCTGCTTACAACAAAATGGAATGAGTTGGGTCCACAGCTGAATTCTAATATGTGGAATATAGGCTTTCTTTGGACAATAACAGTATTCTTTCTGGACATCAGAGAGAGGTCTCAGACCTCCAGGGTTCCAAGTTCTCTATTAGACTTCTAAATATCTTAAGAGACAGCCTTTTATATATCAGGCTTGGTTCCATTGTTTCTAAACTCTTGTTCTGCTGTGGTTTAGATAAGAAAGCACAAGGCAGGTGTTTGCCTATTTAGTTATCAAAGTTCTTTTATTTGGCAGTTGATTGTAATGAATTATAGTCTAGCTTATAAACTTTGTCAGTTCAGCCATAAAGAAACCAGGCCCCCAATAGCTAGTTAGAACCTAACCATCATTTATGATGCTGCTTTTTCTCCAAAGTTTTGAAGCTTCTCATCAAAGATGAATTTTCTACCAACAGGGTAGTAAAAACAGTTGCTTCCTCTATGACCACAATTATGAAGGAGAAGGGGAARGCTGAGGTAAGTTTTGGGTTAGGACTCCTGATGAGGAAGGGTAAGAGCTCTCTCCAGTCATTAGCATATAATTATAGTTGATATTTGTAAGATACTTTAYACTTCACAGAATGCTTTTGTGTACATGTGATCATCATAACTCAGCAAGATAAATTATTTTTATGCCTAATTTACTGTCAAAAAACTGATGGTTGAGATATTTAAAATTCTAGACCCCCCACATTTTATTTCTGTAATTCTAGGCAGGTTTACCTATAAAAATTTYAGTTTCCTGTACAGTGAATGTCATTATACCTAGATCTTAGAGTAGAAGTGCAGGATAAAAGAGATGATGAAAATGGTTAATACATAGGAAAAATTCAACAAGTGATAAGACCTAGGAATTAAAGTTGGATAATGGGTGAGGAGTTAGTAGGATGATGAACAGTACAAGGATAGAATGAAAAGWTAAAATTTATTTCTGAGTCCCAGAAGATTGATCAGAATAGAGTTAGCTGGAGGGGTGGAGGATAGAGTGGGATGCTTAAATTGGAGATATGGAGGRGTAGCATTTGTTGATAATAACTAAGTACAGAGTATGACTATGAGAGTAAGTGGCTGAGGTGGTGGGCAAGATCATTCAAGACAGGAGAAAATCCAGAAACTAAAAAGCTAGGGTAGGGTGCTATAGTGTCCTTCAAAAGTTCATGGAATGGATAATCCCCAAATGTATATATTAATGGTATTTAGGGGTGAGGCCTTTGGGAGATAATTAGGATTAGATGAGSTCATGAAAATAAAGTCCCCATGATTGCAATAGTAGCTTTATAAGGAGAGGAGAAACAACCTAAACTAGCATGTTTGCTCTGTCTCGCCATGTGATACCCCTGCCATATTATTATGCATCAAGAACACCTTTACCAGATGCTGAGCAGGTGCCAGTGCCAGGCTCTTGGATTTGCCATCTTCCAGGACCTTGAGCTGAATAAATTTTTAGTCTTTATAAATTACCCAGTCTAGGGTATTTCATTAAAACAACAGAAAAATGGACTAAGATGGGAATTTGGTACCAAGAATGGAATTGTGCTAGAAAAAGATTGTATTGTTGTGAACAGAATGCTAAGAGAAATTCCAGTGAGGACTCAAAATAGACTAGGGGAATATCTGAACTGTATTAGAGATAAGTTGTTACCTGAGTCCTAGACCAGAGACCTGACTCTGGAGATCCCAATGATAGGTGGCATAYAGACATGAGCAGTGGGAACATGAGGTTGGGGGATGGTTCTGTGGGTTGGGTCTACTGTGCTT